GTCACAGGTATACACATAGTCACAGGTATAGTCACAGGCACACACACAGTCACAGGTATACACATAGTTACAGGCATACAAGGTCACAGGTAAACACACAGTCATAGGCACATACACAGTCACAGGTACACAGTCACAGGTATACACACAGTCACAGGTACACACACAGTCACAGGCACACACACAGTCACAGGTATACACACAGTCACAAGTACACACACAGTCACAGGCACACACACAGTCACAGGCACACACACAGTCACAGGTATACACACACTCACAGGTGCACACACAGTCACAGGTACACACACAGTCACAGGTACACACACAGTCACAGGCACACACACAGTCACAGGCACACACACAGTCACAGGCACACACAGTCACAGGTACACACACAGTTATAGGCACACACTCACAGGTACAGACACACTCACATATATACACAGAGGCACACACACACAGGCACATACACTCACAGACACACACTCACAGGTACATACGCACAGTTACAGGCATACACACAGTCAATCACAGGTACACATACACAATTATAGGCACATATAGTCACAGGCACACAGCAGTCTGCCCCTTCACTGGAAACTAGCTCAGATCTCTCCCTCCAGGACCTGCCAGGTCAGAAGAGAGTTATCACAGTCATCTATAAATGGCAGATCACCAAGGCTCAGCCTTGCTGCCTTTGAAATTAGAGTGTTTCGTCTTCAAACACCCGAACCATTGCCCTGAGTGCCTATCACTCCACGGTGAAAGCAATATTGAGGAGTGCTGGTAAGAAGTCCCTCGCCCCTTTGGTTTCCAGGAAGTATTTATTTTGACGTGCTCTCCCACCGTCTGATTTGGGTGTCCATCATGAATGCCAACCCCAGCTTGCTGGGCTGCCTTACCACCCTTCCTGGGGCCCTCTCTGACACTTCAATAAAGACTGGTGGTGAATGGTACTCCCTGGCTAACGCATGGCCCTCATCCCCAAGCTCATACCTGCCCTGCAGTGGCCCCTAGTTCTAATTGCTAGGGCAGGAGGCATTTGGAAATGGGTCAGGGACCCAGTCCTCTGGCTCAACTTGCTGCTCAAATAACAGACGTGAAAGCTTAGCCATCTGACAGCACTGTCAGCAGCTATTTAGGCACTGTTACCTCCCTCCATGGGGTGGGAGCAGGGAGCTGGGTTCTGAGTGGGACCCGGAACTTAGCTCTATCTTTGGGTTCTGTTTTGGCTTGAATCTGGCCATTCATAAGCATACCACTTTTGCTCTTGGGATTGCGACAAAGCCACTGAAGGCTGATATTGAGACTCAGAGTTTACAGAGTGAGTTACCCCCAGGGGAGGCTGCTGGGGGGTGTCTGGGGCTCCTCAGTGTGCCCTGCCGGGTGGATACAAAGCTTTCTGTGGGGACACAAGAAGCTGTAGATGAAAGAGTTCGTGAGGGTCAGAGGCTTTCTGCTCACCCTTCGACTCCCAGGTCACCACAAGCAAACCAGATGCACACCCCAAGAGAAGAGGAGGACTTTGCTTCCCAAGTGTGCCTGGGAAGGAGGACAGAGAGCAGGAGTCCTTTCCATGAGCTCACACAGTCCCCTGGGTAGGGCCAGAGGTTAAGCTAGACAGGCTAGAGGAGTGTGGGACTGGGTCTCTGCACAATCTACCCACTACATGTAGAAACCCTGCCTGTGTTCCAGGCAGTCAGTCACAGGGTCTTCTCTTTAAAGGGGCACTAATGTGTTCCATCTCCACCAGACTTGAAACTACCTGCCATCACTGGGATGCCTGGGGTGGGGGTGGTGGGTTGTGCATGTGTGCGTGTGTGTGCGTGTGTGCATGTGGGGGGGGGCAGAGGTCGACACTGAACACCATCCACAATCACTTACTACCTTACTTATTTGATACAAGATCTCTAATGAATCTGGAGCTGGTTGATCTGGCTAGGCTGGGCCGATCAGCAAGTTCCAAGGATCTTCCAGCCTGCACTGGAGAACAGGTGCACACTAGCATGCCTGGCTATGTGAAGGTGCTGGGGCTTGAACTCAGGTCTACATGCTTACACAGCAAGCGCTTCACCCAGTGAACCATCTCGGCCCTGTGATTCCATGTTTATGATTTAGGCTGCCATAAATTTCTGGCAAATGTGTTTACTATCAACGAGAGCCCAGATAATGTGCCTATCCGCACACCCATATCCACATGCACTGCAGCCTTTGTTCACTCAGAACGACATCTTACAGTCACTTCCGTGGGATTGGATTGGATGATGGCACATTACAAAGAAGCTGGAACAGTGATCCTGAAGCCTTCACCCTTGGGGTCTGTTAAAGAGACCTGATAAAGCACAGCAAAACTCATTAATTATGTTCTTAAGATGAGATGACCCTGGATTTAGGGGGGTACAGAAATCCAATGACAGGCGCCCTTGTAAGAAAAAGGCAGAAGGAAAGTCTGCATGGTGACACAGGAGACAAGAACAAGTGTATGGAGCTGGAGACTGGAGCTGACAAGACCTCCAGTCAAGAGACAGCCACTGGAGCTGGAAGAGGAAGGAAGGCTCTTCCCTCTGAACCTTTGGGGAGCATGAGGCTCCAGGACGATGTGGGGAAATTGTAAGAAAATAAACAGGCTTGTGGTGATGTTTACAATATTCTTGAGAAATGGGTACAAGCTTTCTACATCCAGGGCGATGCTGGCTATCTGTACACCCTTCGCTGGGTCCACCTAACAGGTCAGTTCCTTCACGTGCCCTTCCCACATTCCTCTCTCATGGCCAGTGTCCTCCATGTGCCCAACTTCCAGCCAGAAAGCCACCTCCACCTTTCCAGAAAAGCCCCTGGTCTCCAAAGAAAACTCAAGTCAAAAGACTCAGGCGAGTGAGCCCGTCTTCCCCTGACCAGCAGGAGCGCTCGTCATGTGTCTCACTCAACGCACTGCATGTGCCAATGTTATATGTGTATGCTTATTGCAATTAGCATTGCTGACTGCTTTAGAGACTTCGGAGCAGGACTCGACCCAGCAACTCTCTCAATCTCATGCTGAATGCTTGGGTCTGTAGGTTGGAGCGTCAATGTCCTACCATCATGGTTGGAGCCTCCATGGGGACGTTAACAGGTTGCCCACACCATTTCCAGTGTGGTTCTGTCAGAGGTGGCTATGCAGCCAGTCCACCTGTCCTTCCCTGTCATCACTACCAAGAGCAGGAATTCTTTTTGTCTCGCCCACAGGGCACAGCCCAGAGCCCAGAGCTATGGCCAGGCTGGTGTGAGTTCCCAAGGGCAGCTGCGTTTGCCTTTCCTATGCTTTGGGGAAGGCAGCTGGAGAGAGAACACCATTCTTTGGGACAACGGGCAGAGTTTGGGCTTGTTCTGTCTCTCCTACCAGTGACTGTGAAACCTCTTGCTCCTAGACAGCCATGACCACTAGCTCTCTGGAAACTCCAGAAGGGATTCCATAAGGACTCTTCTGGAATTCCGCACCCATAAAAAGAACAATCCAAGAACTGTACTATATGGGGACAGTGGCGAAGACAAGGCCCAGGGGGACGTGGAATAAAGAACCAGCCAGCAAGAACATGGCTCCCACAGCAGAACCCTGTCACATGTGGGGCTCCTCTGCTTGTACTCCTCCTCTTCCAAGCTCTCTGAGTTATGTCCTGCCCTTCAGAGACCTAGGTTTCCAACAACAAGGTTCAGGTTGAAAAAGCTCTGAAGGAATGGGAAGGGGCACAGCCCACGACAGGAAAAGCACAGAGATCGCTGTCACAGAAAGCCTTTGGCCAAGCATAGTTGCACAGTATCCTCTGGTCTTAAGTATGGAAGACCCTGTTCTAGTGTTCAGCTCCGAGATGTCCTCACAGAGGGTGTCACCAAGCACAGCGGCCAATCCTCCTAGGCAAGGAGCCACGAGGGCAAGAACCACGGGAAATGGAGAGAGCAGAGTTGGGTTCCAGGACCTTTTTGCATACCAGCATCTCTTCCCAAGGGATAATATCCTTGAGATTCTGTAACAAAAACAATCCTTTTCCTTCTACAACTGGCCATCCAACTGTAAGAGTAAATACTTATGTTGATTTGATTTTTTAATAACAAAACATTAGGCCTAGTCTTCCACTGTGTGGAGAAAAGCTTTGGGCACCAGGGAATGGGGGAAAGGGGAAAGCAAGTGTCATTTATCTGTAGGGGCGCTAGAGCCACACAGAGCTGGAGGAGGAGATGCCCCACCCGTGGTCCTCAAGGACCAAAACCTTGGGCATCAGACAAGAGCCCAGGGTCAGCCCTTGAACCAAGCAGCCAACAATCAACCACAAAGGAATGATAATTCAGACACTGCTGGCCAGACGGGGCCACATCTCACAGATGGTCTCCATTTTTCCCAGTCAATCCTCTTCACGCAAGGCCAAGGCTGGTCTCATTACCACTGGGCCAAAGGGGGAGGAACATGGAGGCCCAGAGAAGTTCATTGACTCATCCTGGTGACTAGTTTAGAATAGGTCTTTTCCAGGAAGCAGCTTCTGTGAGTTTACCCTTCATTTCTCTCAGCATGGTCCTCATAGCTACCCAGATAAGCCTTGGACCTGTGGCTCTTGCAGAACCATCAGATGTCTCTCTGCTGCCCTGTAGACTCCCACATCATCCACAGACCACACTCTGGAGGCTCACAATGGCACTATGCAAAGAACTAAGCCCACTTCCTTTCCAGAGATGGGGAGGTAAAGGCACCATTCCAGGTCCTGGAGGTAATCCCCACCTGGTCCAAGGCCTGGCTCTTGTAGCCAGCACCTGCGATGGGCTTGCCTTGCCCAGCCTTGCCATTTTGTCTTCCCGTGCCTTTCCAATTGTTCAGGGCTGATTGGCTCACAGATGGAAACTTCATGACCCATCATGTACTTGACCCCCCTGAATCTGACCTGGCACCTGCCCATCCTTTATCCCAGGATAATGCCAGGGTCCGGTGCCCTCACTTGCCCAGTTTGAATTCACCTACAAGGAAAGTGTACCTGCTGCTTCTGATGAAGCCCTCCTGAGGGTCCTTCGTGGTTCCAAACCCTCAAGTCGGTGAGGGAGACAGCTTCTTCTTGGCATCCATGGTGGCTTGTACAGTCGTTTGGTTCTCAGCTGAGCACGGCTCTGCCAGAAACTCCCTTCACACCTGTGGAGCAAAGCAAGGCACATGTAGCCATCATCTGGGAGAACATGTGCAGGAACATCAGCGAGGTGGCCAGGGGTGATGGGGTGGGGCTTAAAGCAGCTGTTTTTCCTAGTAGCCCCCCATCTGCCTAACTCATCTTCACCCCAAGATATGATGATAACAGCCCCTAACTCGAGATGGAATAGGAACTAACAGAGATGGTGGCATATTTTTTCTTTTGTTTTGAGACAAGGTCTCACGTTACACTGGCCTTGAACTCATGTAGCCAAGGATGATCTTGTATTCCTGAGTCTCAACCTTCCAGGTGAGGATTTACAGGTGAGCACCATCCACATGTGGTTTATGTGGTGCTGAAGATAGAACCGAGGGCTCCATGCATGTTAGGTAGGCACTGTACCCAAAGCCACATCCCCAGCCTGAGATCATGCTTTAAAATACTACCCGTGCTGCCTAGCAAAGGTTTAGGAAAGGTTAGTTGCTACAATTAGATATTGAACTATATGGTCTTTGCTACTCACTAAACAGACCATCTGATAGAACTTCCTGAAATGCTGAAAATGTCCTGTAATCTGCATTGATCCACATGATAGCCCCTAGTCCCTGAGCAGCTACTGAAATAAACTACAGTTAGTGCCTCTGAGTAACTAAGCTTCAGCTTCTCTGTTCTTTTGATGAATGCAAATAGCCACATGTGACCAACACCATAGGTAGCATGTATCATGAGGTCTTCACAGATTCCCCATCAGAGAACCCCTTCCAGATCATCTGATCTAGTGGTCTCTAAAACAAAGTGTCACTCACATCCCAAAGAGACAGCACTGCAAGGGTGGAGAGAGGAAATATTAGGGCTTTACTTATATGAACCGTGGTGTAGACTATCTCTCCTCTGCATGACATACATCTGAAGAATAGACATCATGAATAATTCACAAATGAATATGTATGCTTTTATTAGGACTCAGGCTTACAGTATCTCATTGACAAGAAGATACAATTCTAAATAGATCAGTCATCTAGTCGAACACCCATATTTTGAGGTGAGAGCAGTGAGGTGAAGGTTTGGTACCACATGCTCCGAGCTTCTCTGAAACTCTTTGCGCTGTTTCCGCCACCTGGAGGGAGCGCAGTTTACAGGCACTTGACTCCCACGGCACTCCTCAGGGGACCCGCTGGATGTGAAGGTGAGACAGCATGCTCCAGTGCTCATTGGTTTGAGCTTCCGACCAAGACCCAGGCACAAGTCGCCAGGCTGACAGCAGAATTTTACATAAGGTCTCCAGGACGCTCCCTCTCAGCACTGCCTCTTCCTGGCAGCAGCGATGAGAAAGTGGCTTTTGTTCTTTGCTACATGTCCACATTTGCAAGAACCTCCTGCCTAAAGCAGGACCTCTCATCCCCTGGGGGTTGGGGAAGGCCAGCTCCTTCCTTGAAGTCTCATTTGTCAAGACCATGGGCTCCCTAAAGAGCTATCTGAACTAGGGTGGGGTGGACAGGCTGCTGTTTCCCTCATTACAACCCTCTGAACCCACTGGAGCTCCTGCAGGGCCTGGATGCAGGAAAAAAGGGAGGAAGGGAGGTGGGGGCCTGTGGAGAAAATGCCTCTCGTACATGGATGGGCTCACCTTTGCCCCCAAGACAGCGGGTTGCAGGCTTTAAGAATGGCACGCAGCTTGAACTGTGGGGACTTCGTCCAATCAAAGTAACGAGGAGTCTGTTAGGGGAGTTCTAGCCCCTGGATTCAACCTCATCAAGGTGGGATTTGGATCCTGAGGTCTTTGTGGAGAACACACATGGACCTTGGTCCTGTCTTCAAAGCAGTGTTTTGCCGTGTCGTGGGCAGGGGTTGTTCCTGTCTCTCCTAGATCCTCCTAGAAGGTGCTGTATGCAGAAACCTCCCCCCCCCACAGCCTTCAGAAGCATCTACCTGGATGGGCAGGTTCTGTTCTTGGTCCCCTTGCCTTGTCACGCAGGGCCCCTCAGAGCATACCAGGTGCTGTGGGGCCACATCTGATGCCCCTCCTTAGAGCTACAGATCTCTGTCCTTGCTGTTACCATGGGGACATGCTTATCCCCTGGGTCAGTGGGAGTTTGACTTTCCTAGAGAAGCCTCACCGCACCTCCCACTCCTTAGCCACTGACCAGCTGATGCAGGATGCAGCTGTTCAGACATTTACTTCTGAGTGGGACAATCTGTGTGGTGAAATTTCTACTCCAGAGACCTTAGGCACCAGGCTAAGGCTGGACCCTCAATATCACCCCTCCACTCCTCTTCCTCTCCCACCTCCTTATGCCCTCCCAGCCTTCCTAAGAGCTTGCCCTCTCTAGTCACTTGGACAAAACTCATCTCAGTCTCCATTTCTGGGGAACCAGTCCCAGTGGCTGGATTGAGTGTCCTTCTCCAAACACTTGCACTGATAGGGCTGGATGACATCAAGTAGGCCATGTGACCTTTGTGTCTGAAACTGGACCATGGAACCAGTCTTTTTCGCATTTTCCTTTGACTCAAGGGTGAGTTTCAAGATCAACTTCAGTTTCTGTGTTTAAGCTAATTTGCCACTCTGCATTGGCCTATTCAGTGATGTATACTTTTTTAATGCATTGCCTCTCAATATTCAGATTCTCAACTGGACTCCTGGGCTCCATTCATATCTGTTGTGTCTTGATTTCTACAGGTCTTCGTGTTACCTTTGTTCCTAGGCCTCATGAAGGAGACCAGTCATGGAGACCTACCATGAGGGAGGCCGGTCATGGAGACCTACCATGAACAATCATTACTTGCCTATGTCAGTTCAGCCAGGATGCTCGGAGACTGGTAGATTGAGGCCATGAGCCATGAGTTCAGGGACTCCAGTTTGACTGGGGGCCCCTGGGAAACTCACACAAGGCTCGGGGTGAGGTTATTGGTCATTAATATTGACCCTAGATGGAATGAATTGAGCCTCTTTTACTGTACCACACCCCAATACACTCTGGCCTTTCAAGGGAGATTAGCTCTAAGGAGAGGTCTCACAGGCAGGGGCGCAGGCCTGCCATACACATGTTCATTCAGGGCAAGAGTGTTCTGACCTACTGCTCTTGGCCTCCAAGGGGCTATTAGGTCACACTCGAAGCTCTGAGGATGCTGCCAGCAGGACACGGGGTCTTAGGCACAGGCAGTGGGCACCTTGGGCAGCAGAGCCCGTGGGGATGTGTCTGCAGGCCTGAATCTTTCCCTCACCCCAGAAACCTCTCTGACTGACCCAGTAAAGTGCACCATGACTGAAGAACAGGCCCGCAGCCTGACAGACGAGCACCAGGCATAAGAAAGACCCTCACGACAGACAGAATCCTGTCCTCAGGGCCTCGGGCTGCTCTCTGTCTCCCTCAGTGACAAACACGCCTGTTAGGGCTGCGCTTCTTCCACATCTCCATCAGCATCGCTCATGTCCCTGTCCCCTCAGCAAGTCACTGTTGCTTTTGCTAGAAGCTTCCACAGCCAAGTCTCTGAGCACTTCACGTTCATCCACTGCCATACACAACCACAAATTAATCAATAAAATCCAATTCCACGGTCCAGTGCTTGCTGTGAGCACAGCACACGCATATTTTGTGAACGCTGTGGATCTCCAGGCCTTGAGTTAACGTCGGGGCAATTAGGCATGCAAGCATGAAGCCTCTCCATGTCCCCACCTCCACCCTGAAGATGAACCCGCACTTGCTCTCCTTCAGTGTGTACAGGTTTGTTAATGAGATAGCCATTTCATTTCAATGCAGTATTTGGAGTTGGAAAAAAAAGAAAAAGAAAGAGGAAGGAATGAATGGAAGGAAACGGAAAGCCCAGAAATAAACTTCAAGTATTAACAGGAAACAGGAAATAGGTGAGGGGTCATGGATTTATGGAAGGGTCTGAAGGTTTCCATGTAAATTCCAAATAATGTTTTAGAGTTTGCAGGTCAAATTCAAACTCCATATGTGATATTTGTATAACTGATATATGCTCATATATGTAGTTTCAAAAGTAAAGGCCCATGACTAGTTCATGAAGGTATACTAAAACAGATCAACAATCATGTTTACTCCACAGTTGTCTATATAGCAAAAATAATATGTGAGCACACATATTATTTACACAGGAAGAAAACCTCAGAGGAGATTTTTGTATACTCATGACATGGGTAGACCGAGAGGAAGGGAGATTTCTTAACAAGATCACGAAGTAACAAGCACAGAAGAAAAGGGAGCTCCACGAATGTGACAAAATCTGCAGTTTCTTACCAGGCACCTCGGGATGTACATGTAATCCAGGCCGACCAGAAGGCAGGTAGAAGAAGATCAAAAGCTTGAGACCAGCCTAGTCAGATTAGCAAAACCGCTTAAAAAGATAAAAATAGATAAAAACAACGAAAAAGCTTCTTCATGATAAGATACTGGCTATGTTAGACAAGAATTCCATCTCCAACAGACAGCGAGCGACTCTGATCCCACCATATTCCTTATGCTGAAAACAACGAAAAATTCAATCACATTTTTTTAAATGTAAATATCCTTAAAAGTAGTGATAGTCTGATCTGAAGGCAAGAAATAGTTAACATTCAAAATGAAGGGAGATCCTGGACAGGTAAGACTGTTTTCACTTCAAGGGTTTGGCCAGACCAGGTGAATTCCATATCTGTTCACCTGTTCTAATGGGACAGGACCCAAAGACCAGAATACACCTTGGTGAGAGTCCAGGGTACCAGCTGCCCTCAGCACGCCAGTCACTCGGAAGTGAGTGTTCCAGCCCCGTCCCTGCACCAACTCCATCACCAAGGGAAGGGGAGGAAGGGTCTTCTGCAAGTTCATGAAGAGAAGTCATCCTTCTCAGGGGTCTGCACCTGAATTCACATGGTGTGAGAGTAGGACAGACCTGACACCGAGAATGTCATTTAAAAATGATGTCAGGCATGCATCTAGCAGAAGCAAGACAGGGTGTTTTTTGTTGTTTTTTTTTTTTTTCCTGAGGAAAGACACTTTCAACCCCA